TTTGAACATGTTCGACTCAATTGAGGATGCTACCCGCCGAGATGATATCGTCATATTTGCCTGCCCCGCTCACAGACAGGTAGTGGCTTACAGGTGGGTAGCCTATTCAGCGATATCGCATAAATACCTGCCCATAACGCAACTGATATAGAACACGGAAGGTTAATTCGGTGCCCTCATAGATATGTACGAGTGAGGAGCGGCCTCCAGCTGCATATAGGGGTAATCATCAGTCCGAAGAACCGCCGATATAACTAACTTGAAATAGATTCGAAAAAATATCCACCATACCATATGCACAAAAAGCAGTGGCAGCTAAGCATCTAATTGAAACCTTTCGTGATGACAGAGCTACCTGACTACATGTATTCTATTTTGATATGTATCTGATTTTCCGCAATGTACTCGCGTGCTAACTAAATGAATTTATTCAGTTGTTAATTAAAAGCTCGTGGTTGGAGATTTGATCTCCCGGCATTAAATGTTCTGACACGATGTTTGTATTTACCTTAATATATATGAACTTCGTAATGGAGATATTTCGAGATGGGTATTCACTTATCCGCCGACTATTTAATACTTGGGTAACCCAACCACTCATGGTGCCATGATTGGGTATCCGATTCAGTCGATTCTACACATTGATGAACCGGTAGTGCCATCCAATGATAGCGGTCACTTGGTTCGGCCTATATGTTGATATTAGTGCATAAGGCGTGACGGATGTATGGGTCAGGAAACTCTACAGCGTAAGTAAATGAATCAGTAAATGAATCATTTCGCCACGTTAGGACTTTGGTGGAAAATAAATCATCTAGATTGGGTGGTTAATGACATCAGGAAATATCACGTTTTTACTGAATCCCTTAGTTCAATATGCCCCTTTATTTGACACATTCAATAATGATTAAACACATTGCCAAAAAGCGATAAAAACGCTGCTGGCAGTTGGGATCGAACTCAAACAATTAATTAACACTTGCTACAGTATAACGTCGTTTACGGCGCAACCGATCATGACAGGGAAACCGATCACACAATTATGTCTCATTATATGTCCTATTATAGCTCTACCCGACCTTAATAACCTTCTACCTCTAGGGTTTGGTGGATCAGCCGCCTTCAACTTTCTACCACTAATAGGAGGTACATCGCCCGCACTATCACTATTATCATAGTCATTTATATGTTCCCATTTGGCTTCCTCCTCATCTAGGAGTACCCCCACGCCGCCGTAACCTACCCCCACACCACCGAGACCTTGCCCGTCTTTTGGAGTTGGGGAGTGATATGGAGTTACTAGGAGGGGGTTGCGCTCCTATCAACAATTCTACAAGAGTATTTTTTGAAGTTTTCCGCTGTTCTCTGGCAAGTCTTCTCTCCTCCTTCTCGGCATCTGCAATCTGTCCACCATCTTAGGAATAACCAACAGGGTCTGGCGCTTTTTTTGAGTTCCTTTTTTTGAGTCATAATCGGTAGGGTTCAGGACATGTCTTGGGTTATATGGGACAATGCCGGCTTGCCTCCATGCACTAGCTATATTTTTCGGAGTGTATGCTAGTTTTCTGACGGAGAACAGAAGTCTGTTTTGGTTAGTAGTTGTTCTCAATAGTCAATATATAACTAAATTCAACGTATTTTAGAAAGATAGCTTTGTTTAAACCCCTATTCTCGTCTGATATTCCATCTAGTGCCTCGCTATAATAGTGCATGGAAGGACCAAATAGCCCTACATTCAATGGTTGCAATAAATGGGTGGAGTGAGGCGGTAAACAAAAGGGAACAATTTTGTTTTTGAGACCGTAATCGAAGAACTGCCAAGTGATATGCGACGTATTACCATCCATTATTAAAAGCCTCCAATGTCCTGCAGCCGTAGTATTTGATAGTCGTAGTAATTAGAATCGGTCGGGAACACTAAAAGCTGTATGGACTCACCTCTCTGCTGTGTAACGTTGAAAATCCTTGCTCAACCATTCCATTCCCAACTCATGATCGGTCCACCCTTTAGGTGAGTAAACAAATGTTGCGATATTGTCTTCGCCCAATTGAGAGTACCAGCCTTGATAATGACCGGCGCCTTCATTTATAATCATAGGTGGTAGGGGTATGCCTGCTGCCGAAACCGCCTCAATAACAGTAACCCATGTTCGCTTACCATTGTGTGTGAGGCGTGGTGTCCGTCTTCCTCTCCTACAAATAACTTTACATCTACTGGCTGATCCCATTATAAAGCCCTTCTCGTCCATGTTATACTCGTCATCTGGAATAATGTGATACTGTCTGGTCACCATTCGTAGCTGTTGAGAAACATATAGCCAACTAGCCCTGATCCAAAACAATACCCGGCCATAATAGGCTCAAACCTTTAATAAAGTGATCTTTAATAATGACTGGATTGTCTGCACAAGTTCTTTGCCTCTCTAGACGGACTGCTAGTTTACTAGCCAGTTCAGGATTCCGATCTAGGAATCTTGACAACCAGTGCGCGCCTAGCTTCCTGTTACTAGCCCGAAGTGTAACTAAATGAGCTGCAATCTCCTTGACAATTGCCAATCTAGGCGGGAATCCCTAGTCGTCCATTCGCTGAATCCATCGCACAATTGAATTCTCCTCTTGATTTGTTAAAAGCTGTTGATGCCGATGGCTCTCCCTATAACTCTGAGCACCAGCCAGTCTATCCCGTAATGTGGTATAAGGAACAGAGTAGGTCTCCGCTGGCATGCGAATTGAAGGCTCTGCGGGCTTCTTTTAATGTTTTATCGCTAGCTGGATGTTCTCCTCCCGTTCCTCTTTTTGGTTTCCCTTCAGGCGAGTCATGTTGAAGCCGTTAAACCCTTTTATAACCCCTATTGGTAGCCGTGGTACAGTACTAGTACAACGAATCAAAGCAAAAAACGCCGAGAAATCACATGATCGGTATTACTGTCATGATCGGTTTCACCGTAAACGACATTACCACTTATGCCACATAATACAGAACAATTAGAGGTTCATGCATAAATAACCGAAACATAGTGGAAATGTGCAAAGAAAATACTAATTTAATGCATTCCCAAAAGTCACTCTGTAAATGCATCACTTGGGGTTGTAAATGGATCGCTTGTGTCATTTATCAACGACGTCCCCGGTAAACGAATCAATGGATTCATTTACCTTATTCGCTTTGGTGAGTAATGCATCAATTGATTCACCCCCATTGCTAGTAGAGACACCCCCAGAGTATAAGAAAGGTTTGAGGTTTATCACTGGAGTTTTTTATTTTTATTCCTTGTGTAATTAATTAAATATATGGAACCTTATAGTGATGGCAATTATCTCAAAACATCAGTAGGTCTCATCTTGTTCAATATGACTAAGACTTAGTGGTTGATGTGGCATCTGCGAACCGGTCAGGTATTTCATCCAGTATTAGTAAACGGGTTACCTATCCATCTGTCACTACCTGTTTGTGAATAGGGTGGGGCATACTATTATATCCCTCGGGTGGGTACCCTCTTTATTTGAGTCAGAACAGTACTAATAATTAGGACTTTGTCCCTGAAAATTATCCGACAAGGTGATGCAAATGTACTTCAAGTGTAATATAATATATATAGTAAAGGCGTAAGTGGGGATGTAAACCCAATGCTGTTGGCATCCTATCAGAAGCATGAGAATTGAAATCCTTAACTAGAGCCAAAGGATCATCACTGGAACTCCTCACCCACGAACCGGGCAACTGCTTGTCCATCATTTGGCTAGCGTGGTATGCTAGATGGAGTGCCCCTCGTCAACCTCCCCTACATGAAAAGGTCAACGGATAGTGCTTACTATTCATCAAGGTCGACGGATAAGGGTGGTTTATCGTATTGAATAATGGAAGGTGGTCATAAGGCCTGTTGCTTCTTTTCACCAAGCCTTCAACCCTGTCGTTGCATCTTTTTTTTTTTGTTTAATTCATTAATTGCATCTGTCGTTGCATCTTCCTAATTCGTGATAGGAATTTTGTCTTTCAACTTGGGGCAGAAGTTATCAGGCTCAGCAGATACTCTTCCAGTTCTCGAGATCACTACATAATTTGACCTTTTATCCGTACTTGGGCGCAACCGGCAGATGAACTGTGTCTCCAGGGAGGTAGGCCATGGTTGGAAAAAAATACAGACTCTGTCCTGGGATGGGTTGAACTACCATCGTTTGGAGGTTGAATATAGCGAGGGAATACATTTTGTAAGATAAAAACTGAGGTGAATCTTCGAAGGCCAATCGAAATACAATGAAATTTCTCGAAGAAGCAAGTGATATTAAGCGAGCATTACTTTTCGATCATCTCGACATCGACCAACATGAACTCTTCTCTATTTTAAATTTTCATTCATTTTACTTCTTCTCCTTTCTAGGAGGCGCTTTCCGTCTTTCCCAACCCTGTGTGTGAATGTTTTCACCCCAACCACCTAACGCATTCTCTCACCTGACCTATCCCAACCTCCAGTGTTGCATCTATCTCCCAATAGAAGTACCTTTGGATGTCCTATAAGTAGCTAATATTCCATCCACAGTCACCTCTTCTCCACGAAAACAACACGAAAACAAAACTCGCCCAGAGTGAATAACAAGCTTTTTTATCTTCTATATTCTCTTTTAATTGCCCACAACCATTATTGAAAACACTTTATAGACTCATATACCTAATACCCGACAGCTCCAGCGCCATCATGTCTCCCGGCGTGGTCAACAGATGGCTACGACCTACGATGCCAGGTCCACACCGGGTATCAGAACCGTTCGATTAAACGGGGTTATCGGAGAAAGACATAATGCTTATCTTTTCTCCTACTCCATAAGTGATGGTCAATGGCCTCCGTATTGGGCTCGTTCATCTTTCAATAGTTTTCCACACATTATTTCTCCTATACTATGGGGTTTCATGTTGCGTTCCGCATTTTGTCCTACCCACACATTCCCCTTCTTCCTCATTTACTATGATATGGTACCACCATACATGATCACTGTCACTAAAGATGTCACAGGTGGGCAAGGACTATCCCGTGCAGGACGCGATTATTGCCTGGCTCTATGCCCGTCTCAACGGCGACGTAACCCTCATTAACGATAACCCGCCTGAGTGGCGTCTCACAGCAATATTGACGCCTCCCGCTGTTGAGCTTCACACCCCTGAGCAACGCTTTCTCCGCGCTATCGAACAGGGAAACATCACTGTCCGCCGCGGGTGTTCGGTGTCCCAGGTAGAGCTCATCAGCGATCAGAAGGGTGCTGAAATCAAGGCTATTTTGGCGGGTATCTTCCCTGACGATAGTTCCTCCGGGGATGATGAAGAGTCTGATGAAGAGTATTTTATCCTTTCGTCGTTTTGCCTAATCTAAGAGGTACTAATTAACATGGTTTAGGACCAAAGAGAACTACAAGATAGAAGCACCCAAGAACAAAGGCTGGACTAAGAAACTTTTGTTGAAGCTCATTTCTGGTATCATTTTTGTGTTCATTCTTTTGTTCATCGTGGATTTCATAGTCGACATGAACAATCCTCTCGATCCGGTTGTGTTCCACGCCTATTGATCCCAGATAGTTTCTTCTCATTGTTCTCATCGCCTGAAACGGTACAATTGTCTCCCTATCCTACAACTGCATGCATCTTCCCTGACCTCTGTAAAGATATGATTCAGGGAAAGGTTGGATACACATTGAATTTTCAGGAGCTGATAGAAATTGTTTTGTAATTTCAAGGAAGAAATTATGAGACGGTAAAGGTTTGATTTGGGTAAAGGTTATATTATTATGACATGCACTATCAAAGTAAAGAGTGAGGGTAATAAAATCTTTTGAAGATCATTCTGTGAAAAGAAAACCTTTTTATGCTCTACATATATATGAGTTAAGTGCCCATGTGGTGATCGTGACCATGCCATTAATATTAACAAGTGGGGTTGCCATAGTAACAACCTAATCCTACGGGTTAGCAGCCCAATGAACCTAACTGAGTGTAGAAATAGACTAATCCATCGTGAGACTAATGAAGGTTGCCGTGGTAACTGGAAGCTCTACTTCGAGTCACACTCGGAGGCGGGAAGATCGATTATCCATGAAGTCTCCTGAATGAACTGGTTTACCGAGGAGGTTTCCTGGGAGGAATGGTTTATTACTCGATGGACCATGTTCTGACCCAATTGAGGACGGTACCCACCAACATGATATCCCCATATGCCCTGCCCCGTTCACAGACAGGAAGTGGCTTACAGATGGGTAGCCTATTCAATGATATTCCATAAAATACATAACCATACCCTAGGAAAGAACCTCCAAAAGATAGTTTACCTGTAATGGCCGGTAGCGTTTAAGGAGAAGGGAGATCAATGGAGAGTAACCTGCTTATACAACAAAGTAGGAGAACTTTCTGCCCTGAATAGGCGGTAAGTAACCTGCCCATGGATTGATAGAGTATCAATGAATGTTAGCACAATAAATAAAAAACAAATTTCTGGGGGTTTGAACCTCGAGCATCTTGAGTTGTTACTCCAAGTCAAACTCAAAATTGACGGGATCTCGCAGCTGCCCACAGCCTCCGATAGTATGTCATATTTTAAACTGGGAATATTAGTCAATTCAAGCCATCGTTGTAAATAATACTTACCGCCTTCGGTACATCTTCCCTGTTACTTTCCAGCTCCAATACTTCTTATTCCTGGTATATTTAATTGTCCAACTTCCATAGATCTTCTAGGTTAATATCGGACATACCAGTGTCCTGTTCCGGGATTTTAGTGGGGGGGCTGGTTACAATGCGCTGGTTACAATGCAGGGTTAGGGTTTCTCGCACCATCTGTGGCAATCAAACCAACTGACTGATGATACGGGACCATTTTTTGCTTGGGAGAGGAATTACTCTTAGGAGTCGAAATAAATTGAATGAAATTTGTAATATGTATTCAAAGAGCGCTTCACCGGAACAATAATTTAAGTTGCCAGCCCGAGTTAAAACTTATTGTTCGATGAATGGGTGTGGAAGCGGGACTCTAATTGAGGTGATTGAGGTTGCGTTGAAAAACGCTGGACAGCTTACCCACCGCCGGCGGTACAGAATAGAAGCTTGGCAAGGTGTACAGTGCCCTTGACAAAGGATATGGTGTTCAATTTTGCGGAAGTATACATACGATACACATCTACCAGGAAATGATTTTGACCACCGGCACCGTGCGCTACGATGGTAAAATATCCCATTACCTACTTGGCGCACCACCCACATTTAACTCCCATGGACGGGGATCCATCCATGGTCTCCCAGTCATTCGCCCTCCTTCTCCTGTAAGAGCATCATGCCCATCTACTCTTGCGACTCGGGTGGCCGTTGGAAGATCCTGGCCACCGGCTGTCTTTTTGGTGGATGTGAGTGTTGTGACAGAGTGGACAGATTAATGAAAAATTTTTTCTTTGGTGGGGGGTTATCCGCCGTGCATGCGCGTCGGATTCCTTGTGGTGGGAACATTTTTTTGTGTGGTCGGCCAGAAACCTGGAAAGTTCGCTTAGAACGATTAGTTTGAAGGGAGGAAGTCAGATGACTCGTGATAATTAGCTGCACGTGGCACTCTTGCCAATAGCGTAAGAAGCAGAAATCGGATAGTGGTAGCGGGAACAGATTTTGCACTTGCATAAGTGTATGGTGCGCCCACGCCTAAAGTTGTCGGATCGCGACGAAATGTCAATGGCTGATAACTTTGCAACGAAGAAAAGCGGTAAAATAGAACACTAGTTCAAGTGATGAATCTTAGTTCTATTTTAGCAGAATGTTGATATTTGTCTGGGTTGGAAAGTTATCAGAGGTTGAAATTGTGTATTTTTGTATGTAAAATGCGCCGAGACTGAACAAAGTGGAACCGTATTATACCCATTTATACCCCCCAAAAAGTAAACCTGACTGATCCGTGGCAGTGAAGCAGCAAAATACCTAGAAATGGGTCCTCTTATTGGCCCATGAGGCCCTATTGAAGCCACAATTCCGTGTGCTACTATTTCACCTTTAAGAGTGTGCGCACCATACTAGCGGTGCTGGAAAGAATATTGATCATGTGATCGGTTGCCTTCACAAATCCAAAGCTTCCCACCAATACGAGGGTCACATGATCAATAATGTTTCCGGCATCGCTAGTATGCCATAAATGGTTGCGTCATGGTTCGTCACCCGGGTCATGGATAATCACTCATGCTTGGCGCTGCATGGGTTTCCAGCGAACCACTGCGGTTACAGGTATCATGATGAGCATGGGTTTTGCACGATCTGCGTTTCTTTATTAGTTGCTGCTAGCATTTGCTAGTCCTTTGAACTCTTGATCTGAAAATAAGTGAAAGTTGGATCTACACTTGGCTGGCGTCTCGGGTGATGGCAGTAAAATCAACTTTGTATTTATTTACGAACACCTCCAAGAAAATACTTTCTTCTCATGTGGGCTGTTTCGCTATCAGCTTGAGATATATGGGTGACAAAGATCTCGATCACACGAGAGTGTTCGTCCCCCCCCCCCTCTCACCAAAAATACGTCATAAAATGAAGTCATATACCCAACCACAAAATGATTAGGAGTTAATTCTAGATATATAACCTTTTTATATATTGTTTATAACAAGAGACACATGCCCTGCTTATATTTTGGTTTTGGCGGTAATGCCCAGCGCCTCGCATATTCACCTCCGGAGAGGATAAACCAGCACCCCAGGTAATAACCGAACGAGAAAGAAAGAAAGGATGAGCCTACGAAAACTCGAGCTTTCATGGCATTACAAAATTAAAATCACAATATTCTCTTTTTTCCGCCATTGACCCGAATAAGGGGTGCGAAACTGACATTTTTTCTCATCCGCATAACAATAGCTTTACTAATTTTCCTAGGCAGAATAAAACTAAATAAAATCGAGAGTAACAATACATCATTGTTATATACCAAAACTCAAACTTTAACAGGCGCAATTTCCTTTTCCAAAATTACTCGTCTGATCACGATGACGTAGTTGGTGTTGTTGTTTCGTCAATGTGTGCTCAGACATGTCGGTAGTGCAGAGGGCAGAGATTTTTCCACACATGAATTATAACTCCCACCAGCTCTCGCCAATCCACATACTCACCTGTCCATCCGAAATTCCAAAAAGAAACCCCCGAAGAAAACCAGATTCACCATTCCGCTGCGAAACCAAATTCCACAAGGGTGTCCTCCAACCCAAATTCTCGCTTAAATATCGCCGCGGAAACCGCCAGAACAATGGAGTGCAGCAATCCAATCGCCCCCAGCCTCGTTCGGGAGCTCCCAGCGCCTCCTACCATCTCCGAATTCGTCAGGGATCTGCACAGCCACGGCGACAGCGACAGCGAAAACGAAGAAATCAACATCACACCTTATGGCGCATATCGCAAAGGGAAGGAGCGTACCTATCGATCAGCCTCCCCTCCACCGAGACCGATTGAGTATTGGGAGGATCTGGCGATGGAGGCAGAGCGCTCCATGGCCGCTGTCCGGTTCCAGGACATCGACCCCCCGGTTCCAGTCGCTGAAGAGACCTCCGATGTCGTTTCGGTAAGATCCTCGTCTTCCGGAGTTAGTGAAGGTGAATATGGCCGGCCTTTGGGCATTGTTGCTGGTATGTTGCATTTTTTGGTTCCCCCCAGCTCGTGTAATGCTGACGCTAGAGCTGCCTCAGCTCTAGTTACGTCGGTTATCGCGTTTCCTATTACGGAAACAATCTTGCAGAAGATGGACCCTGGCGCGACTGGTAAATAACCTTTCCTAATCCGTTCTAGGTCGCCTAATATTAACTCTCGTTCTACTAATTCAGCCGTTTATGGTATCGGGTCTAGCTCTGCGGCCAGAAGGTTGCCGAACATGTATCCCGAGCTCGAGCAGAGTACTGCATATTGCGCTGGTGGTCACCCCCAACACCGTGCGCACATCGCGAAGCATAGGAACAGTGCCCCCATTTCCCCTATGTTCCAGGCTGTGACAGAGACCTCCTGGGCCCGCCTTGAGCGCTCGCGGGCACAATCAGGCGGCGCCGATGGACACCAAGTTGGCAAGGATGAAAGACAGAAAGGCCACCACGGAAGGCATAAAAGCCTGGATCCCAGAAGGAATAGACACTCGAGGGAGCTTGGAAGGCCATCCACTTCCTCGAACAATGAGGTTGCCGAACATCAAAACATCACTGGGAGAAGGCCTGCTAGACATAGTGGTTTCGACGCCCACAGTAGGCACAGTGCCCCTCTTCCCTCCTGCCACCGTCGGACCCGCAGTGACTTCGTCCCTGCCGAAAATTCTCAGCAAATGGACCACAATCAGCCCCGCGGGCTTGCGGCCTTCAAGGATAGGAACAACACTCATGTCTACTGTGATGTAGTAGCCGGTGAGTGGCTCACTGATCTAGTCGAAGGACCGTGCGGCGTGCTAGCTGTTCAGCAGCCCACTTCTCGGGGTGCGTTCGGAAAGCTCAAGGCCTTCGGTGGCAAGCTCGCGAGGAGGTTTAAGGAGCCCAAGGAAGACAGGTTCGATCTCGGGGGTGTTGTTGCGGCGCGGGGGGAAAGGTAACTGCGTTGTGCGGAGGCTACCCGTAAGTATGATTAGATTGCTGGAAGGTCGTCGGGATGGGATGCTTCGGCGATGCGTAGGAAATCTTCAAGGTTGTTAGTCGATCAGGAACGTGCAGAGGAGATGACTGGTTGTTTCCGGTTTGGGATCGGTAATATCTGTATCTAGAGCACTTAATGTTAGCTAGAAAACCTGCAGGTTAAGTATCGGAGAAAGAGATAAATAGCTGGACGTAGTTGAACAAGAAGGTATTTCCCAACTTGATGTCACCTATGATTGTGAAAAATACCAGTCCTGTTTCTTTCCTAATCGACGTCGCCATTGTCTGCTATAAAAAGAATCTCACAAGCAGAAAAAAAAAAAGGGAAAAAAAAAGAATAGAGGCCGGGGGAGGGGGATTAGTGATTTAAACGCATGTACAGACCTTAGCCTCTAATCAACGGGAGAGAGGGAGACGGCCAGTATTGGTGTCCAGAGAACGCCTTCGACACAGTCATAAACATTTCCCCCACTTTAGAACACGCCCACCTTCTCTTGCTGTTTGCGTCGGGACGCTTTGTACCTGTACTGGATAAGTGCATGGCGTTCCAAGGTCGGCTCCAGGGGAAGGAAAAAAGCATGATGCATTGTGAAATAAAGCCGGTAGTACAGTGGTATAGGATACTCTCCAACACTGTATATATTTGGGGAAATGGCCAGTACTAAGCTATAATTCTATAGTGTTTAAACTTGTGATATTATAGACTAGATTCCCTTGCCTTGGATGCTGATGATGCCTCCAAGTCTAAGGAGAACCCAACCCTATCTATACATGATGGAATCTATGCCAAGGGCCGCTTTCTAATACTAACTGATACAACGATAATAGAAGACGATAATGAGCCGAAAATAGCCCAAATGGAAAAGCACTCCGGTATAGTCCCATCCTACATTCCAATTCTGACGTGTAACTGTGACCCTAGGCCTGAATCATGCAATTGCCAGTCATCGGGCTGTACTATCCCATTTTTACCTATACCTACTTCCCTAAGTAGAATAGCCTGCAGCCATAAGCTCCACTTATATGCACTTTCGAGTAAATCACCCAACAGTAAGCGTGCTTTCCCAATCATAGCCTAATAGTAGTGTGATAGTAGCACTTTATGCCCCCACACCACTCGATACATTTCTATACTTCAGGTTGTCCTTATGTTACCCGATCATTATCAAATCATAGTCCGTCACTTGTTTTCTTTCACTGTCCTCTGCATTTAGAAAAGGATTGTATAATGTCTCTAACAGTGTAGTACAAGAAAATCCTGGGCTCAATCTGGGAGTAAGTACAGACAAAGTTTCAAATGAAGAATGATTGAAAGAAGATTCTTAAGCATTGGCAGTATTCTTTGTTTTTTTGTGAATCAAAAAATTGTTGATTACTATAAAATCTTGAGGGAGAAATAGGTTCAGAGAAATAAAGAAGAAAAAAAAAAATTCAAGAAACCATTGCCATTTTCTTTTGTACAAGAGTATCCGAAATATAAAATACAGCAGGCAGCTTGCTTGGGTAAAGAATCAACAGAGAGAGTAAAATTCAAAACCACAGAATAAATGTGTTGAAGTTACTAGATTCTTTACGTATTATGAGTCCAACAAGTGAGCTTTCAACAGGATATTTACTATTCCTCATATGTCAAGTAACATGAGGTAATTGAGCAGTGATACTATCGTAGAGAACCAGTACCTAAAAGTAAGCAAGTAATATCAATATTTCATTGAAAATACAATTCAGAGGCTGTTTTAATGATAAACGAAGCGAGCGAGTTGAGTATTCAGCTTGAAAAAAAGCAGGGACAAGGCAGAGAGATAGGAATTAGGAGACATCAAAAGCATTCACGTAGGAGGGAAGGCAATGAAGCATCTGACATCGCAGGCAATAGCTCGTATGAGACTGAGGATGGCAATGATGACAGTAAGGGTATTGGCATCAGAGGGTAGTATGGTAATAGAGATTACAATTATGAGAGGGACAACGATGTTGAAGAGTACTATGATAATAACAATGATGATCGGGATAGTTATTAGGAACCGAATATGTACTTTGGCTTTGGATAAAATATGTATTGAAATGAAGAGAATTCCACAAAGTAATAACCCACAGCATAAACTGCATTTTGAATAGAGAAGAAATGAAAGGTAAAAAAGGATGTGTAATTTAACATCAGCAAAAAATAGGTTTTGCTACGTCAAATCTGAACCCCCAAATGTCTAAATTCGTCTTCCGAGCCTGAAACATCATCTATTGCTCACAAAACCTCATCCCACTGCCACCAAAATTTGACATGTCGTCATTTGACGACTAGTAAGCATACAAAATGTCTCAAGGGGTGGGTAGGGAATATTTCGCAGTGTACGTAGTAGAGGGGTGGAAGCTGACAGATTAGTCTCGAGTAGTGTCCAAGGGGCTATTGCACAAGCGAGTGTTAATGGGGGGAGGAAAGTGACAGTGCGATTGTCTTCTTTGTAAGGGGAGAGCTAGTATTGTTTGTATAGCAATGAACAGTATAGATGCAGAAGATATTGCGTGAAATAGGAAGAGAGGAAAGGAGAGAACAGGCGAGGGCAAAGCCTCCTAATTTACATAAGAAATCTTTGAAGACGATAAATCCAAATTGACTCATACCCCTACAATCAACAGAACCTTATAGAAACCCGTAGAACATTCCTGACTAATACAACTCTCCCTACCCCAACGTCGTGAGAAATCGATAAATGAAAAAATATAATAGATCGTCTTTTAACGCCTATTCGGTGTCCGGAATATAACTTCTCACCTTTTAATATCCAGTAGGCATCCCAAATATGACACTTCGACCCTTGATGCCCCACCGCCTCTCAAAACGTGACCCACCGCGTTGAATCTGCACAAGTATTAGTCATGGCGCTGGCTCTGAGATCGCTAGCAAATGACGTCACGTTTGAAATCTCAAGGCTCTCCACCTGCTTGCCTACCTGTCTAGCTGCCTAGCTGCTGCCTTCCTGCCTATTTGCCTACCTTCCTCTCGATACCTACCTCAACTCCTACTTCCTACCAGCATCGACACCTACCTACTACTAGAATCGACACATACCTCCTACTTGCAACGATGCTTACCCCCTACCAGCACCGACACCTACTTCAACACCTATCTCGACACATACCTCCTACCTGCAGCGATGCCTGTATACATATTTCACTACCTGTATTTTAGCGCCTGTACTGACACCACTGCAGACTGCTCAATAGCAGCGAATCGACCCCCAAATCAACCCTAAACTGACTATTAATCACATCTAATCTACGCCTTAATCTCCAAATTAATTTATTCATTAATCTACACCGAAGTCTACACCCAATTATTGACTGACGGTGCACGAAATAAACGTCAATTAAGCTTCTAATAGGTAGGTACTTATGTAAACAGTTGCAGATGTAGGCAGGTAAGCAGGCAGGTGTGTGGTTAGAGAGTCGGGCATAGGGGTAGGTAGGCAGGCAGTCAGACGCGAAGTTAGGTCGGGCCCTAGCAGACATGTACATAGAGAATTAGATCGCCAGATGAACGAATATATGTTACTGACGCGCCGAAACAATTTCTTAGCCGATCTACCTTTTGTCGAGTGATCTCATTCTGCCAGCAAAAACTGCTAGCGAAACCCGTTAACCGGGACAGAAATACTATTGTTGAAACGGCATTAGACTCCAAAAGATGAATTTGCGTTTAGACCTATCACGATGACGTCCTTTGGGAAGGAGGCGAACTGGCTCCATTTGGGTACGCGCCGGCATAGGTCTACGGGTAGGCAAGGCTCTTGGGGAATCTGGGGCATCTGGGGCATTTCGTGTATCCATGTGCCCCAAGACGATATGTCATTTTTTGCTGATGAAGGAAAACTATGGGAATCGAGTTCCAGCCCAATACGAACTTGAAAAATTCCAAACAATGATGTTTGGAAAGCTTGCTAATGAGATTCCCCCATGCTGCCACCATGACCATAAAACACTGTTCAAGGAAGAACGCAGCCCCCATTGGGCCCACTCTATCGTATGTCGCATGAAAAGCTCATTGTGATTAAAAAGTACCCACAGGATAATTTTGAGAAGAGATTCATTCAGGCCAGCTCTTCACCTACTAGTGCTCCAATGTTTTTGTTAAAACAGATAATGGGACACTCCACTTTGGCATTGCCCACCATAGCCTCAATGAACTCCCCTTCAAAAATCACTACCCGTCACTGGCACCATGATTACCCTTTCAGAAAACCATCGACCCGCTCTCCAACACGAAGTGGTATATCAAACACCAGCCATTGGCAAAAATACAACCAAACTCGGATGGCTAAGAGTTAAGAATGGAAATCAGACTTTATAGGTATTATTCTCATTTTGAATATAAGGTAATGCCTTTGGTTCCCACGATTGTACCAGCTTCATTCAAACACTTCATCTACAATTGCGTCTGCGACTACTTTGATATGCTCTGTACTGCCTAAATCAATGATATCCTTATCTATAGCACAACCCTTGAGGAAGATCAAGTACAAGTCAAGAAGGTTCTCGAAGCCCTACAAAAAAATAGAATATTGTTGAAACTGAAAAAAGGCCAGTTCCGTAAGCAGAATACCACCTGCTTCGACCTCATTATTGAAAACAACAAAAGCAGAATGGACAATAAGAAAGTGAATATGTTGAGGAATTGGGCCATCCTCAAAACAGTCAAAGATTTGGAAGTATTTCTAGCGTACGTTAAATTTTATTTATGATTTATACTTGAGTTCTTGAAACCGACCTACCTTCTCAACAGACTAATGAACAAGAACTTTGTGTTTGGGTAGTAGTGGCTCAAGTCCCTAGCCACCTTGAATACTCTCAAACAAGCCTGCACAACCACACTTATATAAACGCATTTGAACATAGAGAAGAAAAGTACAGTCGAAACCAAGGCCTGCAACTACATTTCTCTCAAGGGGCCTCATATATCGTGTGT